AGTTTCCCACGAGAAACCGCCGCGCGCCGGCAGAAAAAAACAGAGAGGCTCCGTACGAGACCGCGGGGTCGCGCGGAACGGGAAAGAAAAACCGGGGGAAAATCGCGCCTACGGCAAAGCTGCGAATAATGGAGGAACGTTAATCGCTGTATATATTAATCTTATTGTGCCCGGCCGGATTTCCATAGCGCGTGCCACGCGGCGGCGGCGCTGGAACAAAAGAGATGATTTTGTTCCGTCGCGGAACGCGTCCCGCGCCGCGGTTCCCAACCCGTGATATTTCCATCGCACGGCAATATTTTAGGGCTTGTTTTGAAGAGCAGGCTTTCCTCTATCAGATCACGGCTGAAAAAATCATCGGGAAAAATAATCGAACTCGGGTAGAGCCGTTTGAATTCGTGTCCTTCCTTATGGGAAGGAATAAAAGTAGCTACACTTTTCCCCTCGGATTTGTAATAAAAAGGAACGATTTAAAAAATCGAGTCGAAGCATGCAGAAGTAGAAGTTCCGCCCTTTAAAACGAGCCCGGCTGGAGCGCAGTGCGATTTTTGTTCACGGACTTGCAGCGGTTTGAATATCGACGAGATTTTGATCCTTAAATACAAACCTTATTCTTTGATTCATTGTAATTAATACAATTAATTATAACATTGATATTTATGCAAAATAGTGATACTTGTATATTCTATTAAATATAAATGTAAATAAATATTCGCTGGTGCATCGCCGAGTAACGAAACCCAGCCGCAACTGTCCTACATAGGCGTAGGACTGGCGCAGGAAAATTCAGACGCAGCTCGCAAAAAGAGAGAAGAGTATTCAACTCGCGGCCGTTTCATAATCTCCGAGCCAGGAAGACCAAGAAAATTTCAGTCCCCCGTCATCGAAGACCACCCTAAGCGACTTACCCGCCCACTGCGGCGGGTCGTTGCGCGAGTTTTCATCGGGGAGCGTACAATGAGGATGTACCATCTCCCGAAAGATTTCAAAGTACGATTTCCATAGACACAAAAGCACGGCACGGAGCAACGCGGAGGAGCCGACGCCGGTATCTGGGTCGTCGCATTAATTCTTTCATGCGCGGCTCGCTGGAGTGTACCCGCTCGAGTGGTGCGCCGGGTAGCGCCGCGAAAAAACAACACGAGCCTCCGCAATCACTATCGCGGAAGCGTGGAGGCAGCCAACGCGGCCGACGGCTGCCGCTCGTACCAAGAAAGAGGGACTTGGTGGGGAGCCGGTCGAAAAACTACTCGCTGCTTCTACCTGGTGCAGATGCTGTAGCTAAACAGCTTCTTGTTTTTGCGATGCTGTTTGGCTACCTGGGTTGGCTACTTTGTTTAGCTATTTTGTATAGCTACTTTGTGCAGCTACTTTGATTAGCTACTTGACTCAACTACTATGTTTAACTACTTAGATTAACTACTATAATCAACTACTTAGCTTAGCTACTTTGTTTAGCTATTCGGCTTAAATACTATATTTAACTACTTAGTTTAGCTACTTTTTGTTTAGAAACCTGGCTTTGCTACTTTGTTTAGCTACCTAACTTAAGTACTACACTTAAATACTTGACTCAACTACTATATTTCACTACTTAGCTTAGCTACATTGTTTAACTACTTGGCTTATCTACTAGATTTAACTACTTAGTTTAGCTACTTTTTGTGTAGAAACCTGGCTTTGCTACTTTGTTTAGATACCTAACTTAAGTACTACACTTAAATACTTGACTCAACTACTATATTTCACTACTTAGCTTAGCTACATTGTTTAACTACTTGGCTTATCTACTAGATTTAACTACTTAGCTTGGCTATTTGTTTAGCAACCTGGCTTTGCAACATTGTTTAGCTACCTAACTTAAGTACTACACTTAAATACTTGACTCAACTACTATATTTCACTACTTAGCTTAGCTACATTGTTTAACTACTTGGCTTATCTACTAGATTTAACTACTTAGTTTAGCTACTTTTTGTGTAGAAACCTGGCTTTGCTACTTTGTTTAGATACCTAACTTAAGTACTACACTTAAATACTTGACTCAACTACTATATTTCACTACTTAGCTTAGCTACATTGTTTAACTACTTGGCTTATCTACTAGATTTAACTACTTAGCTTGGCTATTTTGTTTAGGAACCTGGCTTTGCAACATTGTTTAGCTACCTTTCTTATCTACTATACTTAAATACTTGACTTAACCACCATATCTAACTACTTAGCCTATCTACTTTGTTTAGCTACCTGGCTTAAATGCTATATTTAACTACTTAGCTTAGCTACTTTGTTTAGCTACCTGGCTTAAATGCTATATCTAACTACTTAGCTTAGCTACTTTGTTTAGCTACCTGGCTTAAATGCTATATTTAACTACTTAGCTTAGCTACTTTGTTTAGCTACCTGGCTTAAATGCTATATTTAACTACTTAGCTTAGCTACTTTGTTTAGAAACTTGGATTTGCTACTTTGTTTAGCTACTTTTCTTAACTACTATACTTAAGTAGTTGTCTGAGTTACTACATTTGCCTACTTAGCTTAGCTACATTGTATAACTGCTTGGCTTAAGTACTATATTTAAGTACTTAACTTAGCTACTTTGTTATGCAACCTGGATTTGCTACTTTGTTTAGCTATCTAGCTTTGTTACTATATTTAACTACTTAGCTTAGCTACTTGTTTTAGCTACTTTATTTATCTTCCTGCCATCGCTACTTTGTTTAGCTATCTATCTTACGTACTATATTTAACTACTTCGCTTAGCTACCTTGTTCATCAAACTAGCTGTGCTACTCTGTTCCACGACCTAGCTTAACTACTATATTTAACTATTTGTCCTAGCTACTTTGATTAGCAACCTGGCATTGCTACTTTGTTTAGCTATCTAACTTAGCTACTATATTTAATTACTTCGCTTAGCTGCTTGGCTAGTCTACTATATTTAAATACTTGGTTTATTTACTATATTTAACCATTTGGTACAGCTACTGTATTTGAATATTTGGCTTGGCTACTCTGCTTAGCTACTTAGTTCAGCTACTATGTGTAACCACTTGTCTTAGCTACTCTGTCTAGCTATCTAACTTAGCTACTATATTTAACTACTTGGTCTAGCTACCTTGTTCATCAACCTAACTTTGCTACTTTGTTTCACTATCTACATTAGCTACTATATTTAAATATTTGGCCTAGCTACTTTATTTAGCAACCTGGGTCTGCTACGTTGTTCAGTTACCTATGTTAGCTACTATATTGAACTACTTGGCACAGTTACTATGTTTAGCTTCTCGGCATAACTACTCTGCTCAGCTATTCAACTCAGCTACTATGTTTAGTTACTACAACTACCTATATCTAGCTTTCTGATTCAGCTACCCTACATACGCCGCCTATAAATAAATAATCCATTCAATTACCCGATTTAGCTACCCAATTTAGCTACCCGATTTAGCTACCCAATTTATCAACCCGGTTCACACGCCCGATTTAGCTACTCGATCCAGCTACCCGGTGCAACCCACCCAACTCATACAACCCATTCCGCCCCATAACCCAGTCCAGCTAGGAACATGTCTTCCTATTATCAAGTTATCCGCTCGAACTCCACAATCTACCCAGTCGCTCTGAGCCACTTAATTCAGCCATCCGGTCCCGGCAATCTGTCTCAGCAACTCTGTCCATCTACCCCCGCGGAGCCGCTCGTTTCATGCTACTGGTTTCCATCCGGCAGGTTCGCGAATCCGATTTTTCCTTCGCCTGACGTTTCATCTTCAGTCAGCCAGCAGGCGGAGCCGTGTTTGACGGGCATCGAGCGACGCCGGCCTGTACAAACACGGGCCGGGACCAGGCATATCGGGAAACACTGGGGCTCGTCCGTTCCTCGCTACCCTCACTCCTCCACCCATTTCGACGTCGCCGGCTCGCCTCGCCGGCGCGCTCCTGGGTGGGGGGGCCGCCGGGGAGGACGCAAGCGCGGACGTATCGACCGGCGAACCCTCCGGGTGACACCCTCGCGATCCTCGGCTGAGGCTCACTGCTTCACCGGCAAACTAGTGGGTAGTACACGCACGCGACACAGGTGAGTACCGAAAAGCTTTCTCAGATTCTTCTCGCTAGACCAGTGTGCCCGAGACCCGAGCGTTTACCGCGGGGGGATTTAACCGCGCCGCGATCTGGCAACGCCTTTGCACCGTGCCCCGTTCGCTGATAACGTTCGGCCTCGTTCACCCTCGTGCCGGAATTCCCGAGTCCCCGACCCCGACGGGCCCACCGTACCAAGTGCACCGTTTTTCCAGCCGATCGACACAGTTCCGAGCGCCAGTTCGAGTTTCGAGCCCCGCGCTTTTAATCGAATCAGGTTAAGCAGATTCCGCGTCGCTCCATCGCGTGCTCCCCGGGCTTCTCTCCGCGGCTCCGCGGGCCGTCCGCGTCCTCGCTCGCGATCGTTCCCTGCAACACGGTCCCCTCTTCCGGTTCCCGGCCGTCGTGCGGTGCGGTCGCTTTCAAATTTACGCGGGAGCGGACGCGGCGGACGCGTCGGCCGCACGCGAACCCGGCGATTCTTCACGCGTGTTCGCGTACCGTGTTCACGTGACCCGCGGTTCCTACCCCCCCCCCTCCGGGCCTCCGCGCGTCGTTAACGTGCGATTAATGCTCCAGCACCGATATTCGCGCGACGTTTCTCTCCCGGCGGCGATTATCGACCGCGCGCCGCACGGGAGAGGTTCGCCGCGCCGCGGAGAGTCTGCTCGATACGAGGCGGCTCTCCGCGCGTTTCGGGGCTCCGCTCCGAGTCGCGTTGCGTTGCCCGCGGATCGCGAGATCGCGCGGCGCCGGCTGGCCGCCGGCTCCGTGCCGGGCACGCGACGGCTCCGCGCCGGGCACACGGCGGCACCGTGCGCGCAGCCTCGGCCGGTCAATGCGCCTGTGCCCTTTCCTGACACCTAGGGACTCCGGCATCGATTATTACCAAAGTCTTGCCCGAACGCCGCGTAGAACGCGTGGCCAACACCGTCTAGGGACGTCGACGGACGCGAACGAGCCCTTCGCGCAGCTACAAAAAGTTTGGATTCGTTTGAAAGAAAAAAAAGGGACGAGAAAATTGTGCGACGTGACTTCGCGGAGATCGCGCGACGAAATCGGCCGATACGCTGTTGGAATTGTTTCGAAGGGTGTGTCCGATCGATTTGACAGCGGACCTCGACGAAATTAACGAGTATTGTTTTCTTGTGATGATAAGGAGAATGTGTTTGATAGGAACTCCGTTGTTTTTATCGTAACGCATGCTTCGGTTAAATTCGTGATGATTGTTTTTATGGTGGAGTTTCTGTTAGTTTAACGAGCGAGAAATGGGACCGAAAATTGATTCGTTTGGCGCGACGAGGAAGCTCGCGTCTTATTGGCCGCGCTGCGCTTCGCCGGGATGCGCCGTGTGTCTTTGTTAACCCTTTCGTGGGCACGATATAAATTTTCGAAGAAAATTGGAATACTCACTTACCGTAATTTTAATAGTAATATCAATTACAGTAATATCATTTATAATAATATCATTTATAACGATATCATGTATAATAATATTATTTATAACAATATCATTTTTATAATGACATCATTTATAATAATATCATTTATAACAACCTTAAAATATTTATTAACAATACAGCTGTTACTCACTTTTCTTTTATTTTTAATCTTTCTCCCCTCAAAATTAGGGGTGCTGGGATCTATGCAGGGTGTCCCAAAATTATGCTATTTCCGGGAAACGAAGGGTTCCTGAGGTCGTTCGGAAAAACTTTTTCCTTTGGAAAAATGTTCTCCGAGGCGTCGTTTACGAGTTATTAACGAAAAACAGTGACCAATAGGAGACGAGATCAGCTGGCGCGGAGGCGGCCGAGCTCGCCTCTCATTGGTCAGTATTGTTTCGTTAATAACTCGTGAACGAAACCTCGTAGAACATTCTCGCAAAGGAAAAAGTTGCTTCGAATGACCTCAGGAATGCCTTTTCTCAGTCATCTCATTTCTCGGAAGTACCATAATTTTGGGACACCTTGCATATAGACGGCAGCACACTTCAACCTTGGGAATATTTGATCCTAGAGGTCCGAACGCGCCCTAAAAGTGGGTGTGAAGCTACTAATTCACGGTGCCTGTGAAAGGGTTAAGCTAAGACGCGACCAGGGAATCGATCAGCTTCGAGTTTCGCGCGTGTCGCCGCGCCGAACTTCGCGGACGCCCCCGGCGGCGAGATGATTGCACAAAGTTGCGCGAAGAATCGATACCTCGGAGTTCGCCGGTTTGAAAGTCAACGGGGCTCACGATTTCTGGTATTCGACGGAGCGCGAGCTGCGGAGGTCGAGAAAAAGGGCCCAGGCTCCGGGAAAGGGCCCAGCCGATTTGTCCTCGGAGGTTTTTCAACAACTATTGTACCGTTCGATAGCTGACTGAGAGAAACTCGTCTCTGTAAAATTTCAACCCTGTGACTCGTCCGTGAGGGTAGTTACAGAGTAAATTAGATCGCGCGCATTTCCACACATATTTCCCCTCTTCGATAACTTTTCAAAATGTTGACAAAAATGTGGCTTGTGCCTCGGACCTCGAGCCGCGTGTTATAGAATTTTTTCAGATTTTTCGGAAGCAAGCTATGGTTTTAAAAAATGGGAAACTAGAAAAAAAATCAGAAAATTGAAGATTTCTCGAAAACAAAAATATAGGCTTTTTTGATATTAATTCCTTGATAAGATGCTGTCTCAAGCAGTACGCTAGATTTTTTCAGATTTTTCGTAGAATTGCGTCATTGTTAAAAAAAAAATGGAATCCGAATTTGTCGACGTTTTTGCTGCGAGAAAAAAATTTCTACTTGTCGGATTTATCGCGAGTATAGGTTAAGTAATTTTAAACGTTATCACATCGAAACAAGCAATTTTTTCAAAATTTTAAAACGTCACTGGAGGGGGGAAATGAGGGGGAAAAGAGCGCAATTTAATTTACCCTGCAACTACCACCCCCCCCCCCCACAACAAATTACAGATTTGGAATTTTAAGTATTTCTTGATCAATTATCGAAAGGTAAAACAGTCGTTAAAAAACCTCTAAGAGCAATTTTGACCATCTTAACCGGCTGGGTCCCATAGGGCCCAAAAAGCCCAAAGGATTCGGATCGCGCGAGCTTCTCGAATACTTCCGATCTGTTCAACCTGAGAGACGTTCAGAATCTCAAGGTCGTCGCGAGTAGACTGCTCGGAAAACTCGGAAAATATAATAATTAATATAATAATATAATTAATATATATAATTATAATATAATTGATATACGTAATCATAACATAATTAATATATATATATAATTTATATTTATATATATTATTATATTTATTGTATATATTTATATTTATATAATTTAATTATATTAATTAATATAATAGTATAAAAATGTTGTGCTGCAGAACTGTGCGACTTCGGTGCAATCGGCGAGTCCGTAGCGTCGCGCGTCGTCGAAGCGTTTCGAAAAGTGCTAGAAAATCGAGGCGGAAATCGCGCGCGATTCCGCGCGGTGCCCTCGTTCCGCGGAAACAATTATCCGTTGTGCCGGCGGTTCGCGGACCGGCCGAGTGCCGCTGACTCGTTATCGGCGCTGTTTATCGCAATCCGATAATCGTCACTGGCTCGAAATCATTGTTCCCGCGGCCGGCGGCACGTCGGACGGAAAAACACGTAGCCGAGGCTCGCGCGAAAAAGAAAAATTGGTACGGCGTGCACCGGCACGCCGGGGCGTTTTATCGATCAGCGGGTGGCCATCGAGCTCCACTTTTGCCTTGCCTGTGCTAAATTTCGAGGAGAGGTCTTCATCCCGCCGGCACAAAGAACGCGCGGGCGACATTTTTCATCGCGGGCCGCGGCCGCCCCTTGCGAAAGATGTTTGCTGTTATCTTTCATCGGTTGAATGCCCGCTGAAAAATAGCGCGCTCCAGAATAGCCACAAGGAAAACGGGCGGCCGGTGAATCTTTTAGGCGCATCACGGCCTTCTCTCGCGTTGCGAAAATGTTGCCGGCACGTTACAGTAATTTCACGCAGAAATGTTCCGCGGGACCTGGAATTGAAACCGACGGATCCGAGAATACTGAGTCGCGATACTTCGGGGCTCGCGGAGAGGTGACTTTGCTTTTTTATTCTTAATTTTTTTTTGCCACGATTCGGAGGCAATTCGGTGGCCACGTGACACGATTCGAGGACAATTCGGAGGCAATTCCGAGGTCACGTGACTCGATTTGAAGGCAATTCCGATGCCGCGCGACTCGATTCGAAGGCAACTTAGAGGTCACGTGACTCGATTCGAGGGCAATTCCGATGCCACGCGACTGGATTCGAAGACAATTTCGAGGTCACGTGAATTCGGATCCCACGTGACTGAATTCGGGGGAAATTCGGGGCCCACGTGACACTATTTATAGGCAATTAGAAGGCTAGAAACCACGATTCGACGATCAGAATTAGTAGAATTATAATTTCCAAGAGCTAACCTAAATCTGGATGAGAATCGTTTTAAATCTGGATTAAACCTGAATTGGGTCCGGTTTAGATCTTAGATCGTCCCGGATTAAATCTCAATTAAGCCACGGTTAATCTCGAGATAGATCAGAATTAATAAAAGTATAATTTTCAAGAAGAGTTATTGCAATATCTTGAGATTTACAAATATAGTACAAGTCTCGACAAGAGCTAGGTTAAATCTGGATTAAATCCGAATTAAGTCTGGCTTAAATCTGATTTAGATATGCATTAAGTCTATATTACATCTGACTTAAATCCAATTTAAGTATATATATATTAATGCAGAGTTAGATTTGAGTTAGGTTTGACTTAGATCTGATTTAGATCTGTATTAAGTCTGTAATAGGTCTGGCTTATATCCGATTTAGGACTGTATTAAGTCTGACATGGATCTGAGTTAGCTCTGCATTAAGTCTGTATTAAGTCTGATTTAGATCCGATTTAGGTCTGTATTAAGTTTGTATTCAGTCTGACAGAGATCAGAGTTAGGTCTGACATAGATCTGATTTAGGTCTGCAATAAGTCCGTATTCATGCAGATCTAGTCCATAGATCTGAAATAGTTCTGACTTAGATCCGAGTTTGGTCTACCTTAAATCTGAGTTAGGTCTGATTTAAATCTGATTTAGGTCTCCATTAATTCTGTATTAGACCTTTCGAAGGCCACGTGACACGATTCGAAGGCAATCCTGAGGCATTTCTCCCCAATTGTCCCTCAGCTTGTACCCAAAAATGAACAATTTGAGAAAAATCGCGACTTAGATTCTTATACTTGTCGGTTACAATTCCGACTCGGCGTCAAGTAGGGAGACATTACAGTAAATTCTCCCCAATTGTCCCGCAGCTTGTACACGAAAACGGACAATTTTGGAAGAGGAGATACGATTATTCAGCACGATACAAGCACTGTTATATTTTTATTCAACTATAAAAAGGAACACTTTTATATTTAGCGATTGTCAACGACTATAAAAACGAAGCTCGAGTAATCGTACCTCCTCCTCCCAAATTGTTCGTTTTCGTTTCCAAAGCCGATCAAGTCGATCAGAGGGAACTTAAACTAATCGTGGATTAACGGGAGACAATTATTCCTGTTCGCAGATTTCAACTTGGATTGTTTAGTTTCTCCTTCCTCACCTCTCTTATTTCGTCCTTTCCTTTCGGGTTATCCTACGTTGAAGTTTCTTCCGGGACCGGACAAAAGAGCCGCAGACGTCGAACCGTCGGACATCAGCGTGCGAGACCGGTAATCCGTGACAGCCGCCCGATCGACGCCGGAACCCGAGCCGACCCGAACGGGCTTAGGAAGTTCGAGACCGCCGCGCCAAAGAGGAGACAACCGGCGGTGCGCGTCTGCGGGACGACAGTCTGCGTAAACCAGCAAGATTACCGGCCGCGGCGGTTGCGCCAAATACTGTGGTACAGCTCCTTCACCCGGCAACATTTCATTCTCCAGCTTTCGGCAGTCCTTCACCTCCAATGTTAACTACCTGAAACGGAGGTGAGTGCGAAACGAGGCGCTGTGTCCGCCGGAGTCGCGTTTCCGCAGGCTGAAAACGGAGCAATCGATATATTTTTATCTGTTACTTTCGGTAAATTGGCTCTAATTTGCGCTCGGATTCGACAGAGAAATGGGCGATTCGGGAAGAGGAGATCCGATTATTCGAGCCTCGGTTTTATGGTCGTTGATAATCGGTAACTATAAAAGTGATATACAGGGTGTCCTAAAATAGCACTTTTATAGTTATCGATTGTTAATAACTGTAAAAACGAGCCGAATAATCGTATCCACTCTTCCCTAAGTGTCCATTTTTGTTTTCAAGCTGAGCGTCAATTTATTTGCTATACTTTGTAGCGTTTCTCCATTTTTTTCAATATGGCGCACTTGATTAAAAAATCTGAAAAAATTGTTGGTTAACAATCACGACCAGCTTGTTGAACTATAATAATTTCAACATGGTTACATGACCGCTACCGATAATAATATAAGAAGTTACCGGTTTTCGATTTTTCTGAAAAAATTCATGAACACGCGTGCCCTAATAGCCAATATACTCTAGATTTTTTTCAAAATTTTCAATCGAAGAAGATAAGAAAAATTGCAGAAAGAACGTCATTTTATTTGTCACCCTATTATCTTTGGATAAGCTGTCGAATGGTCCGTTGCAAGTTCAATTTGGTCCAAGGACACTTCTGACACCCTTATTCGGCTGTGTCCTTCCTCGAAAAAATCTCCCAAAATGCGAGACATCGGGAGATTCAATTTTGGCCACTGGAAACGAGTCTCCGGCTCGGTGTGCATCGGAATTTTGCATGAGCAAAGACAACACAGTGTGCTGACGCTCGATGGGCCCCGCAGAACGTCGCACAGTTTCATCCGATAGGTGGAATTCATTGCGTGGGACACAGTTTTGGACGTTGTTTAAGAGAAATAAGTGTATTGTATTGATATTTTGTTGATATTTTGTTGACATTTTATTGATATTTTATTGATATTTTATTGGTATTTTATTGATATTTTATTGACATTTTATTCATAATTTATTGATATTTTATTGATATTTTATTGATATTTTATTGATATTTTATTGGTATTTTATTGGTATTTTATTGATATTTTATTGGTATTTTATTGATATTTCATTGATATTTTACTGGTGTTTCATTGATATTTTATTGATATTTCACTGATATTTCACTGATATTTCATTGATACTTCCTTGATACTTTATTGATATCTTATTAAAAATTTTATTGATATTTCATTGATATTTCATTGATATATTACTGATATTTCATTAATATTTCATTGATATTTCACTGATATTTCATTGATATGTCATTGATATTTCATTGACAATTCAGTAAATTCTCTCTAATTGACGCTCAGCTTTGAAACGAAACTAGCCAATTTGGGACAAAGAGATCTCCTCTTCCCGAATTGTCCATATACCCACGCAATCCGAGCGTCAATTACGAAGAACTTATTTAACCGTGTGCCATAACCCGTCATCGCAAAGACCAGCGCGAGTTCCGCGCGCATCAGAGCCAAGAATGTGCCATCATCACGTCACGCATGCAAGCCGCAGCAACCAGCAAACTCGTCCGTCATGCCAAGCCAGCCAGCCCCCACCCCCTCTCCAAGCACGGTGGCTGTTCGATGTTGCTGTTTCACGTCCCAGTGAAAAGCTGGCGGCACTAAAAAGCTCTTCGTAACGCGACACACGAGCGTGAACGACCACGGGACGATCCGACCTGTTGTCACTGTCACGACCACCATCGTAGCTTGTCTTCCAGGTTCTCCTCAGGGGATTTGACCTCGGAGCTAGACGATGAGCCGAGCACAGATTCCGGGCTGGCCTCCATGGCCAGGGATTCGTCCCAATCGTATCAAAGCGCGTCGGAACGGCCGTTGCAGTCGCAGCCGACGCCCGTCCCGCCGGCCAGCCAGCCACCGGTGCCTGGAGCACCGCCACCTGGACCACCGCAACCCGTCGGCGGCGATCTAAGCCTCAACCTGAGGCCCGGCTCCAGGACAACCAGCGCCCCCTCGTCGCCGGCGAAGACCCGGGAGAGCCTGCTGCAGAGGGTCCAGAGCTTGACCGGCGCTGCTCGCGACCAGGTACTTTGTTTGCCATTTGATCCCTCGAGAAACTAAGGTTCTTTGATTAGGCTACGATTCTTGATGCTTGGGCCCTTTAAGTTGGCTTTGAGGAGGCTTCCGGGGTCTGTACGAGGGTCAAAGGGCCTTCGAAGGGACTTGAGGGTCTTTAAGGGACTTTGGATGTATTTAAAGAGACTTTGAAGGGTCTTTAAGGAGACTTTCAGGGCCTATAAAAGTCTTCAAGGAGCTTTAAGGGAGTCTTTAAGGACCTTTAAAAGGCCTTTGAGGAGCTTTAAGGGTCTTGTAGGGCTTTTGAAGATCTTTAAGGAGTCTTAAGGGTCTTTAAGGGCCTTTGAAGGGTCTTTATGGTGGTTTTAAGGAGACTTTCAGGGCCTATAAGAGTCTTTAAGGAGCTTTAAGTGAGTCTTGAAGGACTTTTAAGAGGCCTTTGAGGAGCCTTAAGGGTCTTTTAGGGCCTTTAAAGGTCTTTAAAGAGTCTTAAGGATATTTAAGGGCCCTTGCAGGGTCTTTAAGGTGGTTTCAAGGAGACTTTCAGGGCCTATAAGCATCTTTAAGGAGCTTTAAGGATCTTTAAGCAGCTTTGAGGATCTTTAAGAGATTTTGAAGGTCTCTAAGGGTCTTTAATGGACCTTTGAGAGCACTTTCAGGAGACTTTCAGGGCCTATAAGAGTCTTTAAGGAGCCTTAACTATCCTTAAAAGGAGCCGCAGGGGTCTTTGAAAAGCCTTAAAGGACTGCAAAGGTCTAGACCCCCCTAAAAGGTCTATAAATGTCTTTTAGGGGGGTCTAAGGGACCTTTGTGGACCGTCAAGGATCTTCAGGCTCAAAAAGTGACTTTGGAGGACTTTAAGGACCCTTAAAGCGACTTGAAAGGCTAACCTTGAACATTTAAAGCAGGCCTGAACAAGTAGTACTCTCGCGGAACAAGTGGGAAAGTATGGTAGACGCGGGAGTCTTCCTGAGGTACTCCCCACTTCTAATCAAATCTAGCAGATCGAGTCAAGTATATTACAAGTAGAGATGGCGTCAAGTGTGTTACAAGAAAAGATAGCGTCAAGTGTATTGCAAAAAGAGATGAGTCTAAGTATATTAGAAGCAGAGCTGGAATTAAGGGTATTGCAATTTAAAGTAGAAACAAGTATATTACGAGTTGAGATTGGGTGTAGTATAATATGAGCAGAGATACTGTCAAGTATATTACAAATAAAGATGGGTTCAAGTATTGTATAAATTAGTAATGGTGCCAATTGTATTACAAGTAGAGATGGGATCAAGTATAGCACTTTATAGTATACTATAAAAAAGAGTAGAGATCAAGTGGTATACTATAAATTGTGATGGGTTCAAGTTTATTAACAATGGAGATAGGTTCAAGTATATTAGAAGTATAGCAGGGTTCAAGTATATTAGAAGTGTAGCTGGGTTCAAGTAAATATCAAGTACAGTTTAGATCATTGTATATTACAAGTATAGCAGGAGTCAAGTATACTACAAGTAGAGATGGAATCAAGTGCATTAAAAATAGAGATAGGTTCAAATATATTACAAGTAGAGATGGAGTTAAGTGTACTATAAATCGAAATGGGTTCAAGTATATTACAACTGTATATGAGATCAAGCATATTATAAATAGAATTAGGATCAAGCGTGTTACAAGTAGAGTTCAGTTCAAGTATATTATAAGTATAGCTAGAGGTTCAAGTAAAGTTGGAATCAAGTGCATTAAAAAAAGAGATGAGTTCAAATATATTACAAGTAGATGTGGAGTCAAGTGTGCTATAAATAGAGATGTTCAAGTATATTAAAAGTAGAGTTGAGTTTAAGTATATTATAAGTATAGCTGGGTTCAAGTAAATTTCAAGCAATGTTGGAATCAAGTGTATTAAAAATGGAGATGAGTTCAAATATGTTACAAGTAGAGATGGAGTCAAGTGTACTATAAATAGAAATGGGTTCAAGTATATTACAAGTGGATATAGGATCAAACATATTATAAATAGAATTAGAATCATGGGTATTACAAGTAGAATTGAGTTCAAATATATTAGAAGTATAGCTGGGTTCAAGTAAATTGCACTTGGTTCAATTAATTGTAATTGGTTCAAATAAATACAGTTGGCATCAAGTGTATTACAAGTACAGTTGGAGTCAAGTATATTAGAAGTAGAATTGGGTTCAAGTATAGACATGAATTTAAGTATATTACAAGTGAAAATGGAATCATGTATATTATAAATAGAATTAGGATCAAGCGTGTTGCAAGCAGAATTGAGTTCAAATATATTAGAAGTATAGCTGGCTTCAAGTAAATTGCACTTGGTTCAATTAATTGTAATTGGTTCAAATAAATACAGTTGGCATCAAGTGTATTACAAGTATAGTTGGAGTCAAGTATATTACAAATACAGTTGGGTTCAAGTACAAAGATGGGTTCAAGCATATTACAAATGAAAATGGAATCAAGTATATTACAAATAAAATCAGGATCAAGTACATTTCAAGTATATCCGAGTTCAAGTAAATTTCAAGTACAACTGTGATCAATTATATCACAAAAATTTGAAGTATCAGATCAAATCTTTCCTGTCACACAAAACAGTACTGCTCAGCGACATCTCTGCCAAAATCCTTGATCAACCAAAGAATGGATCACGATATCCCCGACTTGTTCGAGTGGCTAAGTAACGAGCTGAACTCGTAGATCCCGATTTGGGCCAAAGTGCTTGACTAGAATTACGTTTCACGGAACTTGCTTACGAGCCGTGCGCTCCCGGTCCAGCTCGTTATCTCGGCTGAATGGAATAAAGCCAAATCGCCTCGTCTGGCAAGGGATGCTTCAGAGTTCGGGATCCGTGGCATTGGTGTCGATCCAGGTGCAGACGTTCGAGAGAATACTATTCGCTGACCCGTACCGATCTCGACGATGGAATTATATTTTATTAGAAAGAGCAATGGAATCGATGCGAGTGCACGTGTGCACACGGACGGCGCTTATCGTGGCAAATTTATGCGACACCACGGACGTCTGTTGCCAGATGCCTGCTCGCATAAACAGCGTGACGTCACGGTGATTCTTTATCATCGGCGTAAACTAAGTTTAAATTGAACGAGTCGATTTTATGACAAAAGTAGGATTCAGAGGAAATAATGATTAAACTAATAATCGGAAATTGTTATCAATAAAATTATTATAGTTATTATTATTATTAATAAAATTATTATTGTTATAAATAAAATTACTATAATTATTACTAAAAAAATTATCATTATTATTACTAAAAAGATTATCATTATTATTACTAAAACAAATTATCATTTTTATTAATAAAATTATTATCATTATTATTATAATAAAATATTATTATTATTATTGATAAAATTATTACTATTATTACTAATAAAATTAATGAAAATCCAATTGTTAAAACTGTTCAGAAAGAAAATAAACGCTTCTCTATCGCCTGGTTTTTGCAACTAAGGTGCAGAATTTTTATTTTGCAAAAAGATTTGCAAAAAAAGAAGAAAGAGTATTTATACAGTATTTATTAACCATTTGTTCACGAGGGAACGATTGTTTGTCACAACGTAGGGTGCCTCGATCCTTGGAGCAGCAGTGTCCGGCGCGACGAGGGGTCCGTCGTTCAACAAAGATCGGTGTTTCACTCTCCTGGTGATCGACGATCAGAACACCGACTGGAGCAAGTACTTCCGGGGCCGTAGACTGCACAGCGACTACGAGATCCGCGTGGAGCAAGCGGAATTCCGGGAATTGTCGTTGACAGCGAGCGAGGCTGGCACCGTGGTCTCCATGGCAGTATATCGCAACGGGACCAAAGTCATCCGGTGAGACTTTTCATTTCTGCTATTGTTAATGTTTTATGGCATCCGAGTAACTGTTCCGAACAATTAGACTAATTGGACCAATGAATCCAACTGTCTAATTCGATTAATGAATCCTGCTGATCTGATTAATCAACCTAATTATTTCAATTAATCCATCCAGTTGATCTGAGTAATCCAACTAATTGTTCCAATTAATCCATCTAGCTTATCTAATTAATCCAACTAATTGTTCCAATCAATCCATCTAGCTTATCTGATTTTAATCCAACTGACTATTCCAATTAATCCAATTGTCTAAGTTGCTGAATTCGAATGACTGTTCCAATTAGTCCAACTATCTAATCCGATTAATCCATCTAATTGGCCTGATTTTAATCCAACTAATTATTCCAATTATTCCATCAATCTGATTTGATTAATCTAACCAACTATTCTAATTAATCCAACTGTCTAATCCGTTTAATCCAAGTGGCTGCTCCAATCGATCCAACTATCAAATCAATTAATCAATCCAGCTGATCCGATTAATCCAACTAACTATTCCAATTAATCCAACTATCTAATCTGATTAAACCAACTAGCTATTCCAATTAATCCAGCTAGCTGTTCTATTTAATACAAGTAATTAATCTGATTAATCCGATTAACTAATCTGACCAGTCCGAAGGATAGCAACTGATGCACGAAATTCATTTGCAGATCGTTCAAACCCGATTTCGTCCTGATACGACAGAACCTGAAAGACGCAGGAGAGGACAATAAGAACCTTCTTCTCGGCCTGATGTACGGAGGCGTGCCAAGCATTAACAATCTCACTGCAATTTATAACTTCCAGGTGATTATCTATTCGATGGAAATTTTGTTCACGCGAGTAGACGCATTGTCACTTATAGTGTAGACACATTGTCAACGACAGAGTAGACACATTTTCAATGACAGAGTAGACACATTGTCAATGACAGAGTAGACACATTGTCATTTACAGAGTAGATACATTGTCACTGACAGAGTAGACACATTGTCAATGACAGAGTAGACACATTGTCATTTACAGAGTAGATACATTGTCACTGACAGAGTAGACATATTGCCACTTACAGAGTAGAAACATCGTCACTTATAGAGTAGATAAATTGTCAATGACAGAGTAGACACATTGTCAATGGGCATAGTAGACACATTGTCAGCGGAAGAGTGAATACATAATCACAGGAACGATCAATACAGTGTGACAGGAATAATCAATGGAATTGGTTCCGAATTAGAGAAGGTCATGGGTCGCAAATAAGCTCTAAAAATACTTTGTTATCTACTAGAAGCATCGAGACGGCGCGCTTCATTTGTCCTCCACAAAAATAACTATTGTACAAGGCTTATCAGAGTATTCTTAGAAAATTAGTAGCTTATGGTACCGAGACACTATTGTACTTCGATGCAGTTAATTCAAAAATCAATGGATGACGTACAAAGCAGAAACATCATAAAAAAATTATAAAATAATAGAACTAGTAGCGTGTACTGCTACTTATGACTGCTTATTACTACTTGACTNGTAACTACTATTTACAAATACTTACAATAGCAAGTAGTAACTAGTAGTAACTACTATTTACAAATACTTACAATAGCAAGTAGTAACTAGTAGTAACTACTATTTACAAATACTTACAATAGCAAGTAGTAACTAGTAGTAACTACTATTTACAAATACTTACAATAGCAAGTAGTAACTAGTAGTAACTACTATTTACAAATACTTACAATAGCAAGTAGTAACTAGTAGTAACTACTATTTACAAATACTTACAATAGCAAGTAGTAACTAGTAGTAACTACTATTTACAAATACTTACAATAGCAAGTAGTAACTAGTAGTAACTACTATTTACAAATACTTACAATAGCAAGTAGTAACTAGCAGTAACTACTACTTACAACTACTTACTATTACAAGTAGTAACTATTACTTACAACTGCTTACCACTACTAGTAGCAACTATTACTTACCACTACTAGTAGCAACTATTACTTACAACTACTTACAGTAGCAAGTAGTAACTAGTAGTAACTATTGCTTACAACTACTTACTAATACTAGTAATAACTATTATTTAGAACTACTTACTAATACTAGTAGTAACTATTATTTAGAACTACTTACAATAGAAAGTAGTAACTAGCAGTAACTACTACTTACAACTACTTACTATTACAAGTAGTAACTATTACTTACAACTGCTTACCACTACTAGTAGCAACTATTACTTACCACTACTAGTAGCAACTATTACTTACAACTACTTACAGTAGCAAGTAGTAACTAGTAGTAACTATTGCTTACAACTACTTACTAATACTAGTAATAACTATTATTTAGAACTACTTACTAATACTAGTAGTAACTATTATTTAGAACTACTTACAATAGAAAGTAGTAACTAGTAGTAACTGCTACTTACAACTACTTACTATTACAAGTAGTAACTATTACTTACAACTGCTTACCACTACTAGTAGCAACTATTACTTACAACTACTTACAGTAGTAAATAGTAACTAGTAGTAACTACTACTTACAACTATTTACTACAACTCGTTTTTTAGCGATACGAACGCCCAAATGAATAGCTCCACCGTGCTAGCGTGAGGTTCCGCCGCGCTAGCGTGAGGTTGCGTCGCGCTAGTGTAAGGCTCCGCCGCGCTAGCGTGAGGCTTGGTCACGCTAGTGTAAGGCTCCGCCGCGCAAGCGTGAGGCTCCGCCGCATAAGCGTGTCTCTTCACCGCGCGAGCGTGTCACTTTACCGCGCGAACGTGTCACCGCCGCGCGAGCGTGTGTCTCCGCCGTGCGAAACGAACGCGTCTTAGCCAAGCGTTATTAATCAACGTTTCTCCGCAGGACAAGCCATGGGTGTTCGCGCATCTGCTGGGCCTGCAGCGTCGCCTGGGCAAAGACAACTTCCCCCTGATCGAGCAGACATTCTACCCGAATCATCGTGAAATGGTGAGTCATTGTTCATCGATATTTCCCGTTCGGACCAGTCGAAATCGTGACACGTCTGCGTCTGCGTTTTCATCCTTTATTTCTCATCTCTCTCGTTCAAGTAATACATATAATACACTTACAAAAGTTATCAAATGGAACAGACTAAACTAGTATACAAATCGTGCGACTTAATGTAGATACGGGTCACGTGGTTTTTAGGAAATGCCGGCTAGAGTCCCATCCGTGTCGCGCGTTTAGCATTTTGTACTAAATTTCCAGCCCCGGTGGTCGGCGCGCCGCCCGGGGCTCTGTTTCCCGCCGCCGCCGTCGTCGTCAGGACCGCGCTCGGAGACACGGTTCACAAACGGAGAACTTAAAATCGATTCGCGCGTCGACCATCGCCTCGGCGCGTGCGCGCGGGCCACGCGGGCCACGCGTTCGACTCGCAGATCCGTCCTCTAATCTAACAATTAAATAGCAATTAATTAAATCTTTTGCTGCGCGCATGCGCGCGTGCGAGCGCGCACACACTCACACGGGCCCAGGGTGCGTGGAACGATAGAGAAAGGGGGATAATAATTTAAAAATGCGTAATATACATCAATAGCCTATATGTACAACTAAAGTATAGCCAATCGACGTGGGTCGATTTCTACGCCGATTTCTGCATAATTATGATTATCGTTCGATCAGGATCCGCGACCTTCTCAACGGTTCGATCGACCCTTCGCGCGCGGGGCATTTTTCCAACCCTTTCAGCACACCCTGACTCGTCGATTGTTGTAATAATGATTAAATATTAATTGGAAACGTTACTGAAAAAATCTTAATTGAAATGTTAAATTGAACATCGATCGAATGTAAAACGGTAAAACGTTGGAAATCATTGATACTATTTAAAATTTGAAATTATCAGAATTATTGTATTATATATATTTCAAATATTTAAAATATTTTTATTATAAAAAATATGATATTTATAATATTTATATCATGAAAAATATGATATTTATAATATTTATATTATAAAAAATATAATGTATATAATGCACATATTATAAGAAAAAATATTCATAATATTTATATTATAAAAACTAAAATATTTATAATATATATATCATAGAAAACAAATTATTTATAATATTTATATTATATACATTATATTATACATATTTGAAATTTGTAATCTAAATTTGCAAAAAAAGATTGTTAATCCTGATAATGATCAGACTCACGGCGTGTCATAAGAGGAAAGCCCCGAGTGCGAAGGGTGAACATTTAAATTAGCTTATGCGGAAAAATGATCAGCCAATGGTGCTGGTGATTTCTACGGGCCTAAAGATTGTGGATTGGCATAATCGATGGCCGGGCTTTTGTACTCGCTGACACAACCTTCCAATTAATACTTTTGGTAAAAGGAAAGAAAAAAGGAAAAACGAAAAATAAAACACACGCGAGAGAATAAATAGAACGGCGCGTGGGGATGGAACAAAAAAAGCGCGATTAGTCGACGAAATTAACGCTACGTCTGGAATAAATAAATACAATCGAATCCGCTTGGCCGCTGGCGATTCGAAGGGGTGTTCTCTCTCTCTCTTTCTCGCTCTCTCTCTCTCTCTCTCTCTCTCTCTTTCTCTCTCGCACACATACACATTTTTTCTATTTCTCTCTCTTTCTTATTTCTCTCTCTCTCTCATTTCTCTCTCTTTCTCTCACTCTCTCTCTCTCTCTCTCTTCCATTTCTCTCTCTCTCACATCACTCTCTCTCTCGCGCGCGCGACCGGTACCCGTTCTATCCGCAGAACCAAAGCGCGTCTGTCGTTGCGAACGAAGCCGGCTATCGTTAAGGCTCGAGCAGCCTCTGCTGCTCGCGTTTCTGCTGGTGCTCTTTGATGCAGTTGTTGTAGGGGATCGAGGGGGCCCAGCCGCAGCCGCCTGGCGTCGCCAGGCAGGTACCGTAGGTCTCCTGGCAATGGTACGGGCCCGGCTCACTCTCCCATAAACACCGCTTCCTGCCGCCGTTCTCCAAATCTTCGCCCTTCCTCCACCACGGTGTGTAGTTCACCTGCGACAAGAAATTGTTACAGTCGAATTTTCGAGATCAACTAACCTAAATTAACCTAAACCAGGCTAAATGAGCAGTGATACATTTTATAATCGCGCCAGGAAATTGTTTGTTCCTCGATGAATTTCTTTCATCGCGGACTCGCAACGATGGTCAACTTTAGGAATTTTTCCTGCCGCGACCGTGAGAGCTGGACAAGCGAATCTTGCGTAGAACGAGTCTCCTGAATGCGGTGGTATTTTTTCTTTTTAGGTTTGAGAGCGTTTGAGTAGGTTTGAATGTGAATAGCGTTCGGAGAGACCGGAGTTCAATTTTCGGCGATTTTTGGTTACTTTGACGATTTTGGGTGTCGAGGCGAATTTTGGTTTGAACTGGTTTGAAGTGGTTTGAAATGGTTTGAAGTGGTCTGAAGTGGTTTGAAGTGGTTTGAAATAGTTTGAAGTGGTTTGAACCGGTTTGAACATAGGTTACGTTCAGAAACACAGTTCTCTATTTATTTTAACAATTGACAATGTTGTCACAAATTTTGTTACACTCTTGCAAGTGTTTGAACAGGTTTCAATTGAAATAGTGTTCAAACGAAATGAAACTAGAAACTTTTATGGACATTTTTCTATCTGTTTTAACAATGAAGACGACAAATTGTAGCAAAAACCATGCTTCTAGGTGCAACGAGTTATCTTTTTGTAGGTTTGCGAGCGTTTGATGTGGTTTGAAGTGGTTTTAATTGAAATTGTGTTCAGAGTGCAATGTAATTTTTTTATAAGATTGCAAGCATTTGAACTGGTTTGGACTGAAATTAATTTTTTCAGAGAAGATTTTGACAAGTGTTGCACTAGATGAGGTCTAAATTTTGAAAAAAATATTTTGAAAAAAGTTTTGTCCATTATTATAATGTACATATAATAAATATGATAATATGTAATAAATATGATAATATATAATGAATATGATAATATGAAATGAATATGATAATATGTAATTAATACGATAACAAATAATAAATATGATAATATGTAACAAATATTATAATAAAAAATAAATACTACAACAAATATAATAAATATATAAAAAAAAGAATTAAATTATAATAAATAATAAATACTAAAAGTATGATAATACACAATAAATATTATAAAAAAGTGCGATAAATGTAACAATATTATAATATGCAATAAATAATGTTGCAATTAAATAATAAACAACAAACCGAACAGTACACTTCTACTATGCTGAAACCGCGTCATAACTAAATAAACAATGGGAGCAGCGGTATCGATCCGCGGACTCGTGAAAGTGGCCCGGGTAGTTTCACTTACGTCGCAAGCACAGCCGCGGTGAAAGAGGCCTCTGAAGCCTTTCCGTTGCCTGGGCGGCACCTCGGACCACCGCATGTGCAGGTTGCACAGCGACAGATGTATCCTTCCCTGGCCGATTCTACCTTTGTCGATCATCCCGCCGACCACGTAAGTTTCGCCGACGTTCAGAGCGACGCCGCACATGCTGTCCGCCGCCACGGTCCATAAAATCTGACGCTTCGGGAAATTCACGGGATTCACGGCGTTACGGTCCTAATCGAACAAGGCAATCTGACGTTAATAGGGGGATCGGGAATCGTAAGACCGGGTCGTAAGTGGTCGCGCCGGGTGGAGGGGGGGGGGGGGGCC